CACAGACAACCTCTCGTCAATATGCGTTTTTCGCATTGCATTGCTGCAAAAAACGCATAATAAGTGATCAGTGCACCGACTGCTGGTGCGAAGATGCGCTTTTTTGCATAGTCACTCGCAGACTTTGTCGTTAACAGCATTTTCGGACAGGTCTTCTAGCTAAGAGAATTGGGACTGGCCACCAGGACTGTCTAAAAAGATCCCCTTGAATTTTCAGCTTTCTAGTTTTTCTGTTTTCTGAATTAGCAACTTACCCGCTAAAATTTTCCACCGGCCCATACGTGAAAATCATGTATAACTAGGAGCAAAGCTTTAAGTCATTAGGTTCTGCCTGAACCGGGGAAATCCTCTTAAAATTTCAGCCTTCTAGCTTTTCAGGTTCCAAAGTTAGCAACTTATCCGCAAAAAAATTTCACGGGCCCTTACGTAGGAACCACGCATACCTGGGGGCTGGGTTTGAACTCACTAAGACCTATGTAGATTGAGGATATCCTCTTAAAATTCCGGTCTTCTAGCTTTTCAGGTTCTCCAGTTAGCCACTTGCGTGCAAAAAATTTTTGAGGGCAGAACCGCACACTTGAGGGTTGAATTTAAAGTCATTAGATTGTACATGGACGGGGAACATCCCTTTAAAATTCCAACCTTCTAACTTTTCAGTTTCCCGAGCTAACAAATTACGACAAGGGACATCCCCTTAAAATTACAGCCTTCTAGCTTTTCATTTTCCCGAGCTAGCAATTTACCCGCGAAAAACTTTAATGGGCCTGTACTTGGGAACCACGTAAGAGCGCCTATTTTGGGGATGGGGGCTTGCGCATGTAGACTATGTTCCCAAAGTTTCAGCCTTGTAGCTTTTGTGGATCCCGAGATGAAAAATCGATAGTGACGCACACACAGACAGATACACACAGACAACCCCTTGACAATATGTGTTTTTGCAATGCACAGATGCAAAAAACGCATAGAAAACAGAACGGATAGCTCTAAGGAATGTGCGGGAGAGTAATGTCACTAATGTCGGATATTAACATCGACTTTCATTTCCGCTGCATTACCATTTCTGCTATATAAAAGAGAAACATGGCGACGCGGATTTTGAATACGCAGTGTTAAAAGAATAAAACAAAAGTCACCAACACGGAGGGAACTCTCACTTAATTAGCTAATTGAAAACAAGTAGATTAAAAATTCATGAAATGAATACGCACAAACACTCACACACAAAAACACACATACACAACGACAACCTCTTGGCCATGCCTGTTTTTGCATTTGCTTAATTACGCAAAACCGCATAAAAACGAGGAAGTTGCCAGCTTAATGAGCCGCACGAGAAAAAGCGATGATGATATGATAGTTGATCATAGTATCAGAGCATTACCCTTTCGCGTGCGTTCCGGTTCTCTTTACTTAATTTTTGACTTCTGAGTCAAAAGAGCAGCTCCCATTTTTGAAATTAAGCGAGGACGTAAACTGTACTATGAAGTAACGCGAAAGTTGCCCACAGCACAATCGGAAAAACTTTATTACGGCAGCATTAAAGGACATCTTCAACCAACGACTTAAGTCAGCAAAACTTCAGTTAAAGGTAGAACTGGCAACACCCGCTGACCCGTTGATATTGTTTGAATAGTTGACAAAGCGAGCCTAGACAAAATATTTTCACTCCCGAAGCGGCGCTTTGAAACAGTACAGAATTATCTATTCGGAATGCTTGCAGGGCCTTGGATCGATTTATCTCTTCCGCAACCATACCGAAGTGGAGTCCTTCGACCGTTACAGTAACACTGGTTACAAGAGCCTGCGTCCCGGACATCAATATGAAATTGGTGCGCGAGAATGCGACGGCTTCATTTCCAATACATTTAGCAGCGCTTCCAGCTCGGCTCCCGGCTATTCATCGCGTTATCAAGCAGATTTCTACGCAAGTTTTACTTCTTTCCTTGAAATTAAACTGTCCGTGGCAGGTGCTTTTAACTGGTGATTTTGCAACAAGTTTACTACGCTTATAACCAATCTCAGCTGAAACTGAAATGACTCCAAATGAACGACCTGTGATGTTAGGATGTGCTTTTACTGGTGAATCTCGTACCGTTGATTAGCTTAAAGAAGCATTCTTCGTCTCTTTGCAACGCGCCTAAGACAATGGTCTCTCAAAATGCGAGGCTGATGCATTTGCCAACGTGTCGTGTAGCACCACGATTCATACGTGCTTAAAGAAACACCCAACATTTGCACTACTGCGCGGAAAATAAGAAATGAAAAGACGTAGCAGGCAAAAAACAGCTGGCTTTGCTACGCGTTTTTTGCGATGAGCTGTTGAGAGCAATCACTTGGTGAAAGCGCCAATACAAACTGGACTTGACTGACACGAGACCTTCGGAATACGATTTTCTCCTCTTAAAATTTTTAGCAACAAAACATATTTGGATACGCAAAACTATGGAGCAGAAAATGAACATAGTTTTGGGGTATTTGTCTTCTGTCTTCGCCAGCCAAGAGCTCGAGATTACCATCTTGATTTGCAACTGTGCATCTCAAAATTCTTTTTAAATAAGTACCTTAAAGTCAGTGGTTTTCTTCGTCACTCGATTATAAATCAATTCTAAATTTTGCTTAAAAGCCATAGATTAGGAAAAAACGAAAGTTAAGATTTTGTTTCAGGTTTGCGGCCATACCCACTTCCAAAGACTACATTCCAAAACACTACTTTCCTAGTCTTTACAGTTGCAGAGCTGTAAAGACTTGGAATGCCTAGGCTTGCCGGTGCAGCCATGTACTTTTGCGCCAAAGTAATCAGGTCGTTAACTGTATGAATGGTTGTTGCTTTACACCTACCCTGTGCACCCACTAGCTTAAATCATCGTAAATTTAGCATAAAGTAAAATGAACAATTTCCGTTTAACAGTCGGTCTTTGAAAATGACGCAATTGTTCAGTGAACAATTTCCCCGCTAAGAAAGTGTATACATATGTGAGAACCACGCATACCTGGTGGCTGAATTTGAAATTCATAAGTTGCATTTGCGTAGGGGACATTACCCTAAAACTTCAGCCTTCCAGCCTTACTGTTTCCTGAATTAGTAATTTTCGCGCCAAAATTTTCATATGCCTGTACGTGAGTTCCACACGTATTGGGGGAGATGGGACGGAGGGTAAAGAGCGGGGGGGGGGGGGGGGG